AAGTGACTCATCTTTGTTCTCTACACCTCCTGTCAACAAAGGCCATTCAAGGTCATTAAGATTGGCCTTCATTCCTCAAGGGTCTTTCCCTGCCCAGCCAGGGCAATTCTCAGTCTCTATTTTGTTTCCTGATAAGGCTGCCTTACTGCCTGCGATTCTGCAAGACTCTTATTTGAAACTGAGTTTGCAGATTATTGCCAGGAAGCTATTTACATTGTCCAGACAAAGAACTGAATACATTTTCTATTTAGGAGCTTTTCTTGAAGGGTAGCAGAAAATTCAATTTTATGATTTGGCAAAAACAATCTGACAGTAGATTTGTTATCATTACCCTTGAGCAGTGCAGGGTCTATAAAACTGGTCCAGGTGCATCACCCCACCCACTCCCAAGATGAACCTTAGTGCCAACAACTCACTCTCTTAATTGGTATAACTTGAAAGTAAATTTTAATGTCTAAAAGGACAAATGCCTACACCTTGTTATTCTTTAAAATTGTTTTAGATATTCTTGTTCCTTTGCTTTTCCATATTAATTTAAAAATAATACTGTCAAATTCCAATTAAAATTATTTTGAGTGTTGACTGCACCTTTACCGAATTTATAGATTACTTTGGGAAGAGTTGTCCTCCATAGGATATTGAGTCTTCCTATCACATCACTCTGTTTATTTGATCTTCTTTCATATCTTTCAGGAAAAGTTAATAAATTTCTCCATGAATGTCTTGCACGTATTATTAAAGTGCATAATTCAGTGCCTGGTACACAGCAGGTACTCTACATTTTTTACTGAATGTGTATATACTTTTTTTGATGCTACTGTGAATAGAATAAGAGTTAAAAACAAATTTTTTATATTGATCTTCAATCTATGTATCTTTCTGAAGTATCTTTTTCAATTCTAATATTTACATTTTCTTGAATTTTCTATGTATATAATAATATAGTCTGAAAGTCAGAAGTTTGTTTTTTTCTTTTCAATCCTTATGCATTTAATGTTCTTCATTGACTTATTTTACTTGATATGACTTTTAGTACAATGTTGAATAGAAATGGTGATGGGGGAATTCTTTTTTTTTTCCTGAACTTAATGGGAAATCAAAATCTCACCGTAATATGAATGCTTTTAATAGATACCCTTTATCAAATGAAGGAAGTTTCCCTTCTATTCCTAGTTTTCCAAGTGTTTTTTTCTTATTCTTAAAATCATTAGTAGGTTTTGGATTTTATTAAGTGCTTAAAAATTACTCGTTAGATATGCTAGTATATTTTTTGCATCTATGTTTATTTGGTAGTCATTCTTTAGTGAACATACTGATCACAGATGCAAAAACGGGAGGAAATATAGCACAGTGGTTAAGAATGCAGACTCTGAAGTGATACTATTCTAGTTTGAATCCTTGTTTTATCACTTCCTGACTCCCAACTTGGACAAATTACTTAAACTTTCCATGCTACCTTATCTCCAAATGGAGTTAACGACACCTAACAAAGAGTTTATTATTATTTTTTGAGATATAAAATGAAATAATCTAAGTAAAGCTCTTAGAATAGTTCCCATGCTTTGTGAATATTCAGTGTATGTCAGCTGCTATACTTCTTCCTATTTGGCTATTAATTCTTAGACTCTCCTCATGTGGTTTTCGTATCAAGGTTATAATAGCACCTACAGGAAGATGGATCAATTTCTCTTTCATTTTCCAATATAATTTGTGTAAGGTTAGGATTTTATGTTCACTAAAGCTTTGGTAATACTCATTAATAAAGATTGTCTGGCCCTGGAAATTTACATGGAGATATATATTTTATATATATATACACATATACACACATACATATATTTGCTTTTTAAAAAATTATAGATATATGCAAACTTAATTTTTTTGAGTCAATGTTGACAAGTTTGTCTAAAAATTTTAAATCTAGTTCTCAAAATTGGGTTTAGAGCATTCACTTAAGTCATTCTTGTCTCTATTTCACTTGAAATGATGATCTCTTTTCTACTCCTATTACTGCTTGATCTGTGCCATCTCTTTGTCTTAATCAGTCTTACCAGAAAATCATCTATGTGATTTGCCATTTCAGAAAAAACTTGGTTTTGTTACTCTTTTGTATCATTTCTTCCTTTTATTTTTATTATATTCATCCACTTTCTTTGAGTTTTATCAGTGTTTGCTAACTTCTTATATCGCATGCTTAACTCATCTTATTTTTAGTATATAAAGATATATATATTCAAGGCTATAATTTTTCCTTTTAATGCTCCTTTGGCGGCATCCTCAAATTTTGGCATGTTGTGCTAATGATTTCTATTATGAATTCTTTGTTAACTCACCAATTTTTTGGTTTTATGGTTTTTTGTAATGTGTAATTTTTCTATTGTTTCAAAATTAAGTCCTGCTGCTGCATTTGGGGAATTCATGATTCTATGTTCCCTTTGAGTCAATGTTGATAATTATAATTATTTGAATCTTTTATGTCTTGCTAATTTTTGGTTGAGGGGATTAATCACTTTCGGAGAAGGCATAGTGAAATCAGCCTCTGTGATTGGTCTACTTTTTTTCCTTGTAATTTTGTAGCTTTTTGCTATATATGTTTTGAGACCATATTGTTGGGCACAACAGAATCAGGCTCATTATATATCTTCCTGAAAAAATATTTCCTTTCACTTAGTTGTTTAATATGAATAATTCACTTTGACTTAAATTCTATTTTGTCTGATACTAACAAGGCTCTCCTAGCTTTCTTGCAGTTACTATTTGCCTGGCATACCTTTTTTTCATCTATCTGTTATAAATATCATACAGTTAGAATTTTAAAAGTTCTAGTCTGAGACTATATTATAACCAGTAATTTAAATTTTTTCTTACATTTTTTACTGATATATTTGGACTTATCTCTTCTAATTTTCCGTTTTTGTGTTAAATTCCTTTCTCTTTGCTATTCTTTTTGCCCTTTTTGTCCTTACTTTTGATTTTTCTTTATTTTCCCTCCTCTTTTTCTAATTTGGAAGTTAGAAGTTTTATTTCTATTAGATTTAAAATCTTTGAATTTTTGCCATCAATTCTTGACTAAGCTAAATTGAACATTTCCCAGACAATGTGAGGGCTTCCACTTTTTTTAAACCAATTTTTTAATTGTAGTAAAATTCACGGTCATACATTTACCATATGAACTGTTTTTAAGTCTACAGTTAAGTGGTATTAAATAGATTCATAATGTTGTGCTACCATCACCACCATCCATCTCTAGAATTCTTTCATCTTGTAAAACTGAAACTCTGGATCTATTGAACAATAACTCCCCCTTCCCTCTCTCCTCATCCCCTTCCTACTGTCTGTCTCTCTGATTTTGGCTACTCTGAGGACCTCATGTAAGTGGAATTATACAGTGTTTATTATTATGTGGCTGGCTTATTTCACTTAGCATAACAGAGAACTTCCATTTTTTAACTCAGCTCTTCTCCCATTTCCATGCTGTTGATACCTACTATTTTCTTCTCTTATTTGTAATTCCTCATTAGTTATTCATATTATTATTAAGCTTTGTTTTTAGTCAAGCTTATTTAGATTTATTACTATATATACTAATATTTGTACTCATCATTGTGTCTTGAATCTTACCCCTTGGTTTTAGAGTACATTTCCTTCTTAATGAGGTATTTTTTTTAATAGGTATTTCAGTGAGAGTCTGTAAGTGGTTATTCTCCCTGTCTTTGTCCATAAAGGTCTTCATTCTGCTCTTTCTTGAATTTTTACTTAGTCAGATATGGGATTCTAAGCTGACAATTATTTTCTCACAATAGTATGAAAATACTGTTTCATTTTCCTGTGAAATACATTGTCACTAATGGGAAGTTGACTGCCAATCTAGCTGTCATTACCTTGAGGTACTTTTTCTCATGTCTGTTTGCTTGAGAGATTTTCTATTGTTTTTGATAATCTGCAGTTTTACCACAATGTGTTTACTTGTAGATTTTTTTTATCCTCCTCAGCATTTCATTACTTTAGTAGTTTTTTTATTCTGAGGAATTATACATTCAGTTTGGGTTAAAAAAAAAAAACAAAACCTTAACTGTTGTCTTTTCAAATGCTGCTTCACCTTCATTCTCTCCCTTCTCTCTTTCTGGAGAGGTAGCTTGGACCTTCACACTCTTGCCTTCATATCACTTAACTAATTTCACATTTCCTATCTTTTTATCTCTCTGTACCATATTTTGCATGATTTCTTTAGCTCTATCTCCCATTTATCTAATACTCTCTTCAGCTCTGTTTAATCTGCCATATTTCTTGAGCTTTTAATTTTAAACACTATATTTTTATTCCTAAAAATTCCATTTAAAAATCTATCCTTTTTCATACTTTTTATTTTTGATTTGTCTTCTTTCAAAAATATCTTAGTCATTTAAAATTTACTAATTTTTTTTAGTCTATTCCAGATACTTGGAATGATTATTCCTCTGTGTATTATGTCTTCTGGCATTCCCTCTTAGTGGTTTATTCATTTCTATTGTTGATTGTAATACTTTATTTTGAGCTCACCCTCAGCAGATGTGTGTGTGTGTGTGTCTGTCTGTCTCTTCTTATAGGACTTCTGTGAGCCTAGACGGTTTAAGTGTCCCTAAAGGGAATAGCTAAAACATGATTTCTGTGAAGTTATATATTTCTTGAGATAGGTTACCTGGGTCTGGTTACAGCAGAGAAGATAGAACTGGCAGCAACAGAGAGACAAGCTCCAGGTGAGAGAGGACAAAATTGATAGAGCAAGATCCTGGAGAAGGTGAAAAGCTAGAAGATGAGGAGCCCAGGTACAACTTTATAAAAATGAAGAAGAATATCTCTTTTCTTTTTCTCTTTCTTTCTTTTCCTTCCTTCCTTCCTTCCTTCCTTCCTTCCTTCCTTCCTTCCTTTCTTTCTTTCTTTCTTTCTTTCTTTCTTTCTTTCTTTCTTTCTTTCTTTCTTTCTTCCTTCCTTCCTTCCTTCCTTCCTTCCTTCCTTCCTTCCTTTCTTTCTTCCTTTCTTTCTTTCTTCCTTTCTTTCTTTGTAACAAGTGGAAAGGTAAAACTGTGGTGGAGAATATATAGTCTTGTTTTTTTGGTTTTTTTTTTTGATAAAGAACTTGACAGAATCCTAAGCAATAACCCATTCTTTTCATAATGACAAAAAATGAGCTTGCCTTTATAGGTAAGGCGGTCAAACAGATAGATCTGGGGAGACTAATGCTGGTAGAAGTTGTGCAGGACAAGAGGAAAAGTTAACAAAAAGGATTGTCAGTAGGAAGTTAGACCCCCGTAAGGGTTTAGAGAAAATGGGCACATGGGATAAATTTGGTGATTTGTCCCATATGACAATGAAATAGGGGGAAGAAAGATAAGAGTGTCCCAGATCTGACGACCAACAGTATAGCCATAGGAGATAGTTTGGGAGTGAGCAATTCTAAGGTTCTGGGAAAAATCCTGTTTAAATAATTTCTAATGGAGTCCAGGCTGGGTAGGTGGCAGATAAAGCCAGAAGGACACTGATGAATGAGGACATAAGAGATGGATCTGGAGAACGGAGGCCCAGAGGAGGGGAGGACAGATTCAGCAGGAGTGAGAGAGCTGTGGGGTGAGAAGTAAAGGAGATTTAGGTCAGGAAGAGGGATTTTTCAGCTTGAGGCCTTAATGATGCAGTAGTTCTCAGTGCTTAGCACACCAGTAATTATTTGTGCTTCTTTCATTTTCTAGATACTTGCTATCTGGAGGAAGAGCTCGTTGCTCTGAGCTGCATCGTAGGAGACTCTCAATTCCAATTTGTTCCTCTAAAATAGGTGGGAATAACCAGGCTTGCAGAACTATTATCCTGCATTTAAAAAAAAAAAGGTACACATTTGGTGCTCATCGATTTACAAAAACCTCCAAGGATTGTGTCTAAAGTCTTCATAGGCTTTGAACCTTGTCTCTTCAGTGCCCATGATTCCTGGAATCTCTGCTTTCTGGCTGAGGTCTGGGTTGCAGCAGATACTACAGCCATCCCTGAGAGGAGCCCCACCCCCCTCCCCTCAGCCATGACTTACATTTTCCTCAGTGAGCCCAGCTGCCGCCTCTGCAGCTGCCTTTGGCGCGTTCCTTCCGGGTGGTGACTGTCATCAGCAGCGCTGTGGCTTGGCTCTTCTCAGTGCCAACTGTGGTCGCATCTGCTCTCGTTTTCCAGAAGATGTGCTGGCTGGCTGGGTGCTTTACCACATTGCAGCGGGCTCTGTGGGTCTCTGTCGGCATTTCTTTCCTTCTGCCTCTTGGCCTCAGCTGTTTCTAGGAGGGAGCCGAACTTTGTCGTTGACTCATTGCTGGCTGTGCTGCGGAAAGTCAGAAGAGCTTTTAACCTTTTCCTGTTAATTTGTGACCCCTCCTTAACCACTCCCTACCTCCCCCAGAGCTCTGAGGGGGTCTTGAGAGGGAAGATTCATAGGAAGGAATTGATTTACAGGGATAATAGCCTGGGGTGGGACATAATTCCTTCCAGTCCAGGCTTTCTGCCCACCTCGCTGTGGAGAGGGGCCTGTTCACATCATTTTATTGGGACTTGCTTTGGCGTCAACCATAAACAGGCTAAATGCAGGAAATGCAAAGATGGGATTGCACTGGTTTTCGGAAAAAGTGCTTATATGTGACTGGCCTACTTAGAAAGATGGAGTGGAAAAAGAAGGAAAGTCTTGATGCAGAAAGGAAAATAAGATAATGGAAGGTAGAATTAGAGGACCACAGTGAAAGGCCACGCAGATGGGCTGTGTCAGCTCTAAAATGTCCCTGGACGGAACTCCTCCTGGCTCTGCCCTGGAGTTTCCATTCCTGCTGACATTTCCAAGTCATAAGTCAATGGGACATGTTCAAAGAGCCTTACGATTCTGTTGGGATGTGGGTGTCCGGGAAATCCTTGGGGTGGAGCAGGCTCGGCAGTGCTGGAGGTGGGCAGGCGAGTGGAGAAGCAGGGAGGGATGTTGGACAGGATGACCACCACTGGTGGAGTCCAAGGTCTCCCCTTTCTAAGAGAAATTTTGGGGTTTTGGCGTGAAGGACAGCCTGGTGAGTCACTTGTGCTGAGCTGGGGTGGGAAGTTGCTACATTTTGCTCTCTTAGGATTCCAAAAGTCTGTAGGAGATCTGTAACCGCAGATCTTTTGTATAAACTTAAGACTTTTTTTAAACTTCACAATTAATGAAACCTTCCTCATTCTTCCCCAGTGAGGATCAAATCCTTTTTCTCTCATTTGATCCACAGTAATCCTGTGCAGTGTCTAGGCATTTTTCAGGTGAGGAAGCTGTGTTTTGCCCCCAACCCTGCCCCAAATGTCAGCTTTCCCCCAAATTTAGGACCCATTGCTAATCAACCGCTTCATATTTTCAGAGCAGTTGTGGCCTCCCTTTTATATATCCTACCATTTGACATGGACATTTATCTAAAGGGCTTTCTCTCTGGAGCCCCTTAAGGACTATTCTTAATTACTTGATGCCACAGTGTTTGTGATGTGACTGTGTGGCATGCTCATCTCTAGATATCCATAATTTTATTTAATTTTTACATCCCTGTGAAGTATGTATTATTATTATCATCCTCATTTTATAGAGGACTCAAATGAAGTTCAGAAGAGTCACGTAAGCCAACCCAAAGTAATGCAGTTCCGAGTGCCCAGGCAGGATTTGAACCCAGATCCCTCCTACCCCGAAGCCTAAGCTTCTAACCAGTCTTCTGGGAACCCTTAATCCAGAGTCTGTGCCTCTGTCCTTCCTAAATTCTGTATGAACTTTGGTGTATGTGTTGTTTTTCTGAGAAGAAGGATCATGGCTTATGACAGATTTTCAAAGGGCTGAAGTCCCACAAGGCACTGATCTATTAGAGTTGGTGGCTCCATTAGGATGCTTGCTCTTGGTTGCAAACAGAAGGGAACCCACCTGAAACTGGCTGTGTGTCAGTTTTCACACACCGTTTCACTAGGATTCCCACTCAATTTCTCTGTTATGCTCTTGGCTTTGCCCTCCTTAGTGTGTTGGCTCGGTCCTCAGGCTTCCTTTATCTGCCTGCACAGTTCCAGGGGCAGTGCTGTTTGCCACTGGTCCAAAAGGGGAGCATTTCTCTCCTCTCTACCACCCAACTAAACTGAGCTTCACTCTGATTCGACCGACTGAGGTCATACGCCCCTGTCCTGCCTGGTCACTGGGGCTGGGGGATGTCATGTACTGATTGGCTGAGGCCTGAGTTCCTAGCTGGTTCCTGCATCAGTCTCAGTTGTAAAAAGGATAAGATTATACTGAGCTCCTGAGGCCACTGGGAACCAAGTACTGGGGCTGCCGAAAGTGTCATTGTTACCCAAACAGTGTTATGATCCAGGGAGGGGTGAAATGGATGATGGGGAGGCATCCAACAATACCCAATATATAGTTACTGTTCTTCCTTTGGTATCTCAAAGAAGACTTTAGAACAAACTCTCTAATCCAATGGGACAGGAGGAAAGCAGATTCAGCTTCTAGTAGGAAGTGTGTTGGCATTTCATTGTTCTCTTTGATTTGAGGAGTTTAATATCCTACCTTTCTCCCATCCCCAACCAGAGTCTGTTTAGTGAGACAGGACGCCCCTACCAACTCCGAGATATTTCCTTTAGATGCAGTTCTTATTAGAGTTGCTGCTTCTGAGAAATGCTTTCATGTCCTGAGTTACAGACGCCTTTGGCATATTTTCCACTTGCTTAAGAGTGTATAGTCTCATACTCTAAAGGTGGGTGAGAAAGAGGAAGAGTATTTGCAAATGAGAATGTGAAGGAAGACAGGAGTCTTTCTATGAGAAACCAGAGTGATGACTGTGTATGTCTGAAATATAATTATCCTCTTTTGTTTGCTTGATAGAGTTTTGATAGATAGAATCTTGACAGCTCTGTTATGAAATGTTAAAATGTAATTTAGGTTAAAAAAATCTTAATTATCTTAAATTATAGTCTGAAGTCATTTTCCAGGCTTTGATCCTTTTATCGTGTGCGACACAGCAGGGGCTGCAGGTGCAGCTAATGCAGCTGCTGCGTTTGCATAAAAGAGTGAAAGAAATGGTGGACTGGCTCACTGGACACCCTTGGGGCGGGGTAGGGGGAAGGGATGTATGCACAGAGGGAAACCAGTGGGATCTGGCTCCTGTAAGGAAATTCCTGGATGATGTTCTTAAATTTGGAGCCAAGGAGGCATTGTGGGTACTTCCATCTATTAAAGATTGAAGCCCAAACTCCTTAGAGCAACTTTCAGGCTCTTGAGGACATGGCCTCCAGCCACTTTCTCAGGCTCGGCGAGATACATGGTGCAGCCGGGAGAGTGTGGGCTTCACAGTTAGACGGAAGACTCTACCTCTCCCTCTGATTTGCTGAGCAATCCAGGATTTACTATTTAAGATCTCTGAGCTTGTTTCCTCAGTTCACTATGGAAGAAAAGAAGACACACTGACTTTCCTCATGGGATCAAATTATCCCAAACTCCTCTGTAGTGGTCCAGGTATCCCTTTCCTCTCCCTGCCTCCCTCCCTCCCGTCAATTCCCCTATTTTTATTTCCCGTGGTCTCTCTCCCTCACTTGCCCTTGCATCAAGGAGACTGAACATTCGTTAGGGGCAGGGGCTGCGTGTCTGTCCTTCCCCTCTCCTCTCTAGTCCTAGTAGAGTGCTTTGTAACGTGATTCACGGTTAAGTGAGAAATACGACTTTGTTAAAACAGATGTTCACTGACACTTTTCATTATCCACTTGCCCTTCTTTGTAAATGTCCATAAAAATAAGTAAAAATACTTAGGGAGTCAGAAAGAGAGATGGTTGGTTACGATGAGACATAGCTTTGTAGCATGGGCGCTGGGGTTGAAAAGTCCTGGCTGAACTGCTGACCTTGGGCAAGTTACCATTCTGTGCCTCAGTTTCCCCTGTAAAATAGAATGATAATAGGACTCAGTTCAGTGAGTTGTTGTGAGAAAAGAGCAAGGGAATAAATATGAAATAGACTGAGGTGAGTACATACTTCACATGAACTAATTATTGTTCCCCCAGTAGGTTAGTTCTGCAAGGTAAGAGCTCTACCATACTGTCATGAAATTCAATGAACATCTTAAATTCTTTGGAAATGAAAATAAAAGCAAGGGTAGAGAAGGGCTTTCTCTTCACTTTGCCCAAGGTGGAGACCAAGATAAGTCTCCACCGGATGTCTCCCTTAGACAATCTGAGCATTCTGGGGGGAGTGGTGGCGGGGACAGCTGTGCCCAGCCCAGTCACACTGCTACCTGTGTCACGGTGTCAGGAGGCTGCTAGCTTCTGAAGCATTGTCCCTTTGAACATCTTCAGAAGACACCCATCACGAGGACTAAATCCTGCATCCCTAGTCTTTAAATAGAGTCAATAATCAATATTAATTACACACTTACTGTGTGTCTACTGAATGTTTTTACTTAGATGAGCTCATTTAATTCTCACAGCAATCTCCTAAAGTTGTTCCTGTCATTATCCCAACCTCACAGAGGAGGAAGCTAAAGCAGAGGGCAGTCAGGTAAACTGTCCAGAGTGAGATGGTTACAGATGGTGGAGACACGATTTGCACCCAGGCTGTTCCACTCTGGCCCCTTGCTTTTCACCACTGGTCCTCCTGCCCTGTCCTCTTGTGATGCCTGCACCCCAGGAGACAGGTTCCTCTGGATGGTACCCAGTCTGCTCATACCCGCCTGGCTGCCCTTTCCTAAGTGGATGCTCTTCTCCTTGGTTGATTGACTCAATCTCTGATCCTCTATTGAATGGTGATCAAAGCTACTGCATCTCTGGACTTTAATGCCTGTGGCTATTGTTTCAAATGGCGAATCATAATTTAAAAGATGCTTAGTGAAGTTTTATGAAAGGTGACTCTCCTCAGGCTTGAGATAAATTGAAAGAGAATTCAACACAAACCAATCAGCTGGATGCAAAGGCCTTGCTTAGGGCCCGAGTGAGTCCAGGGTGAGGGCAGATGAAAAGGGCCAAGAGCAGAAATGGGCAGGCACACGTTTGTTTCCCTTCCCTTCTCCTGACTCTCAGTCTTCCCAGATGCTCTTTCCACTCTCCAACTGGCCCCCCTCTCAGAAACCCTGCACACCTGCAGGAAAGCAGGAACCAGTTTTTCCATAAACACATTGCCCAGGCTTCTGCAAACCCCAGAGTAGTGTCAAGTTTGGAGGAAGAGAAAACAGTTGTTTACCCTACAGAGTTCTCATTTGCAAATAGGAGGGGTGTTAATAATCCTGCAAAAGTTGGTGTGGAAAACCAGTTGGCCTCAGGCATCTGTGTACAATGAGCTAAGACGCCCAGAATGTTCCTCAGCCAGGGTGCAGCAGATCCCGGGGAGCAGACACGCCCTAGCTGGCTTTGCCCTGCCTGCTCAGAAGCTTTCTCTGTTCCCTTGCTTTTGACATGTGGGGCTGTAAATTTGAGAGCTTACTGAGATGTCAGCTATGAAAA